TAATTTTTGTTTTTTTTTTTGTTTCCACAATTTTTTTAGGATTGTTTTATCAGGTAGTCTTCCTTCTCGTGTGAAATTAATAAATTTTAACAAACAAATATATATATCTATATGTAAACATCGAATTTATAAAAAATTCATTTTGAAATGACATTGTCATTTTAACAAAATTCCGTTTAAGTAAAAAGTGGTTTACCAAATTTTTATTTAATTTTTGTCGATATATGCTTTTAGAGTTTAAGGATTCTTTGGACATGGTGCCTGGCCTAACTTCTAAGCCCCCTCTTCCCAAAAAACCGGACGCTTCCATCATCAACCAACGGAAAGAGTTCTATTCTGACTGCGAAACGAATATCGACAAGGGTATGGATGCGATAACAGCTTACCTCACCTTGAAATACGAAGCTAACGCGAGGAGTGAAACACCTAAAATTGAAAATAGAGTAGACGACGATTACTTCGAAAAACTAATAAAATGCAAAGGCCAGAACTTCAAAGGAGGCGACGTTGTGGCTGTCGATTACACTTTAAACCACTCGGGAAATGGTTGTGAACTTGCCGATGAAAATAAAAATCCAAAGCCGCCGACACCTGTAGACAGTTGTCTTCATAAAAGTGATTTTCTGTATCAAAACTGGGTGAACGAGGAGGAAGAGGTTATCGAAAGAGAGTCGCAGACGGACAAGTATCTTCAAGAGTTAAAGAAAGGTCACGCTTTCCTCGACACGAACTTAACAGATAACTCTAAAATCGTAGAAAAGTGCGTGTCGCCTTGGGGTAAAATAGAAAGTATGCCGAATCTCTCCGACATAGACATAGACAGGCTGTTCGGGGAAGAGAAGAATGTTAAGTCGGCGACATTTTTCGAAGAAAACAAAGCAGTCGAAACGCGTAAAAGTCACGTCAAGAAAAATACGAAACCCGGCCCTTTGAAACCGAAACCCAAGTTTGTGGCGAAGCCCATGAAAGGCGGAGTGGACTTTAAAGCAAAATCGAAGGAGAAAGAAATCGATTCCTGGATGACGCAGACCGTGGTCAACCCAGAAAGTGGAAAAGATATCGATCTGAAGAAGAAAAAAGCCAATTATTTTGACATTTTAAGCAACCTGGAGGAGATCGAGTGCCCTGTTGCTTCTAATGAGGCCCACAGTAAACAAGAAAGTTCTCCACAGGAAAACGAAGGACGGGCCAGTGATAATGGAAGTTTCGACGATATCGTGTCTATCTTAGAAGCTCTGGAAAATGAGGACAAAAAGTCTCGTAAGTACTCGCATCCAAAAAAGAACTGGTGATATTTACGAAATGGTCTTATTTTTTTTACTATTTTACTACTTTTTATGTTGTTTTGTTTTGTTTTCCTTTGTAGAGATGAAAATGGAGTCTGTAAAACAAATGGTTCACAACACCCTACAGGATGGATATTATGAGAAAAGCGATAAGCATATTAAATCTGAACGGGGATCTCCCAACACCCTGTGTGGGTCAAATTCGAAAGAGGAAAACGTTCCTATAAAGATAGGCGGGGTTTATAAAAACGCCGCAACTGCCGATTGCAGTGGAACAGATCACGGACAGACCAAAGAGAGAAGTGTAACATTTTCGCCTCATATAAATGAAGATTTTCAAAGCGACCTTTCCGAAAAAGCGAGTAATAAGTCTTCGAACTACAGGTACAGAGCCCTCATAAAAGATTACAAGCCATTGCAATTTTGTTTGAAACAGTAATTTTATTTCCTTTTCATGTTGGCAATTAAATTTCGGTGAAATTAAATGTCATTAAAACAATAATTTCGAGATAGATTAAAAAAACTGACCGGCTGGTGATTGGTGTAATTTTTCACAAAGTTTTATTCAATCAATCAGCGATGGCAAAAAGCTAACAGTCAATATTTATTTTATTTTCAGTTTATTAGTGTTTATACACATTTTATGTGTTTCTAAAGGTCAAAGGTAGCCCCCGTAGAAAGTCACACCCTGTATATTCGAAATCTTTTGGCTAACTTTGTAACATATTACAACTTTACACTTTTTTTAGATTTAAATTTCAAGATTATAAAAAAAAATTAAGAAACGCTTAGTTACTTTGTAAAATTAAAATAACAGTAAATGATGTTTCAATAATGAGCAGCATCTCTAATTAAACCAACTGTAGAATTACTACCATTTTTTAAAAATAAATTAATATTTGTTACACTGCCCGAAAATAATTTTTTTCTTCAAGCGTATAATAATACTTATATTATATAGTGCAACACCTCCTTTAGAAGCAGCCTATTGTTTAACTAGTACAAATATTTTTCATTTTTTAACTAGTAAATAAATGTAACAATGTGTAGATAAGTATCCTAGCAACGAATTAAAGATTCAAGAAGCTTTGACGTTTCATTAAGTGTCAGTTGAAATTTGATGTCGCGTCGGGTCGTTTTTAAAATGTCTGAAGAAATGCAGTGCACACCACCAGAATTACTGGAAATTGCAAATACATCAGTGGCAACACTTATACCAACAAAGTCGAGAAAAATTTATGAAAATGCTTATGATAAATTCATAAATTGGGCAAAAGAAAATAATGCACATATTTATTCAGAAAATGTGATGATAGCATATTTTACAAGATTATCCAGAACACTGAAAAGTTCAACTTTATGGGCGCAATATTCAATGGTAAAATCTAAATTAAACATAGAACACAATGTAAATATTGAGAAATATTCAAAATTAATTACATTTTTGAAACGACAAGGTGAAAATTATAAACCAAAAAAGTCGAAAGTTTTGTCTAAAAAAGAATTTGACGAATTCCTGAATAAAGCACCTGATGATAAATATTTAGCAACCAAGGTATGTACTTTTTAAATTATAGGTAGATATATATTTAACCTTTTTATATTTGTAATACAAAATTTTGTTATAATTTGTAAACTTCAAGTTATTTTATAGTATCCATTACGAGAATAATAAACAATTTTCGGAAATAAAGATAGCTCATTGGAAGAATGTTGTAAAAACTCATAAATATAGATGTCTTAAAATTACGTCATGTTTTAGAATTTCCTTGCATTTTCCAACTTTTTTTATTGTTACAAAATTAATAATTCTATATTTTTTAGGTTGCACTAATATTTGGAGTCACAGGAGCTTGTAGATGCGATGAACTCATTCAAGTAAAAGTTAATGATGTAAAAGATTTGGGAAATATAATATTAGTAAATATTCCCAATACAAAAACTAAAAAACATCGTTCATTTACCATAATTGGAGAGTTTTATTTAAATTTATACAGAAAATATGCTACTCTTCGGCCAAAAGACATAACTTTTGATAGATTTTTTATTAAATATCAAAATGGCCATTGTCATCGTGTTGTAATGGGCATACATAAAATTTCAAAAGTGCCAAAAGATGTTGCATCATTTTTAAGGTTGCCAAATCCACATGAATATACGGGGCATTGCCTTAGAAGAACCTCGGCAACTATCTTAGTTGATAATGGTGGAGACATTACAACCCTAAAGCGACATGGTGGATGGAAATCTACCAGCGTCGCTGAAGGATACATTGAAGATTCTGTAAACAATAAGAAACAGATAGCGATGAAAATATTAAACCCATTAGAGTATAATGAACCAAGTACATCAAGCGAAACTGTAAATATTGATCCTGAAAATAATTTAATCGAAGACTTTTCTGTTAATAATGGTACAATTGTTAACACTGAAACTGAGAACCTTATTACAAGTAACGTATTCAACGACAGAACTGTAAACTTTGAAAAAAAGACAGCCAGCAGCGCTTTAAATATCAACAACTGTACCATACAAAATTGCACATTTAATATTCATGTTAATAAATAAAGTTTGATGATAGACATGTAGGTAATTTAGATGTTTATTCGTTTAATTCAAATTAAAGAAAAATAATTGTTACATTTGTTTTTTTATTCATGAATAAAGTGGTTAAAACTGTCATGTTTAATTAATCAATAAAATGTATAAAATGTATAAAATAAATAGTATTACCTACCTACTGATTTTATTTTGTGCTGAGATTGAACATCGCGTTATCCGCTATAAATTTTCAAAATTAGTAATTTTTTATATTCACGCTTGAAGAAAAAATAGTATATGTCACTCGGAGTGGAAGGCTCATTATGTGTTTTGCCCAATTTGCTCAGCCTCGGCTAACGCCTCGGCGAGCAAACTTTTGGGCTCAACACATAATGATCGCCTTCTACTCCTAGTAACATAATATACTATTCCTTGCAACAAAACGTTCTTTTATTTCTATGTACACTATATTCTGTAAATAAAAATCAATTAGATGGTTCAAGCTTTCTTCTTGTAAAAGTGTTGGTCATTACGCATATTACCTATTAAAAATGTCGTTAAGGCTAACAAAATTCCAACAAAAGTACGTGTACCTAATAGGTTTAATCACTAAATAATTATATGGAAATATACGTATTTTATGATTAACTGGAAAAATCTTATTTACAGCGAACTTCTTTCATTTCTCGACGAAGTGGACAGGAACTGTTCAAAGTCCCTTCAATCCGCAAAAGAGAGTGCACTGTTAGCTACGAAAATGGTTCAGTCATCTATTAAGTTAGAGACGCTTCCAAAGTAAGTACTTTTTTTAATGTGCCACTTTAACCTTTGCCCGATGCATTTCATAAACAAATACAAACTATTTATTATAAATATTAAAAACGCATTCCTAAATTAGTAATAGGTACTAATTAGTCAATTTCATGTTGTATTTGAACATACACGTTAGCAGCGTCTCTAAGAATTGTTAATGAGTTTATTTTTCTTCCGTTTAATCTTATTTCAGGCTCGAGGACCTCACCGCCCTGTCGGCCGAAGAACTGGCCCAGCAAATAATCGAGCTCAGCCTCCGCGTCAAAGACAAGAACTCCTCGATATCCCTCCTGCAGGACGAGCTCTCCGCCCTCCGGGAGCAGATCATGAAGCAGAACAAGCAGACGGAGCAGGTGGTGAAGCAGAAGCTCAGACAGCAGAAGGACGAGTACGAGGGAGTGGTCAAGCGTCACCAGAAGTTCATAGACCAGCTCATCGCTGACAAGAGGGCGCTGAACCAGCAGTGCGAGGGCCTCATACAGGAGATGAAGGTGCTAGAGGACAGGTACAACACCAATACGAGGGCGGTGGAGCACAAGCACCAGGTGGAGATGAGGAAGCTGAAGGAGATGCAGGCGGCTGGGGAGAAGATGCGGAGGGAGCGGTGGATCGACACCAAGACCCAGAAAATTAAGGTGATCGCACTTCTATATTGTACCTGGTGAAACCAAACCTAGCTTCTACTTTCGTGTCGTGCCAATTTTACTGTGGCTAAAGGTAAGACAAAAAGATTACATCGACTTTTCCAAATTTCGTTGTTTTTCGGAGTGATCTGAAAAACAAACTGTCCCTTTTGACCTACAGGCCATGCCGGAAAAATTTTCTGATTATTTTTTAATAATGATAAACTTTTTCTCTTAATTTTTAGTAGTACAATGCGCAGATAGAGGTGAAGTGTTGCAGGCTAATTTAACGACGGCCCTGTATAAACTAACCAAAGGTTTCTAACAGCCGTTAATTTTATTAGGAGTTGACGGTGAAGAGCATCGAGCCAGAGATCCACAACATGGAGAAGCGCCAGCAGCAGGAATTAGCGGACCTGCGGGCCTTGCACAAACGCGAAATAGAGGATTTGGAGTTGAAGGCCGCCAGGAAGATGCAGCAGCAGTGCGAATCTCTGCGGGAGCAGCTTGTAGAGGAGAGGGAGAAGGCTCTGGCTCACGAGCGAGAAGTCATGAGGCAGAGGTTCGTAATAAAAAAAAATGTAAAACGTTATTTTCTATAAGAACATAATTAACTTCATGGCAGACTCGACAACTTTGTGAACATCCAAGTTTTCGAGATGCAGAATGGGAACATTAAGAAACATTTATTCAAATATTTCTGAAAATGCTAGATTAGACTCTGACGAACTTGGATTGTAATTTGCAAAACGTCACTAATTAACAGATTTGCCTTTAATTAATTGCCATTATAGCTCAACATTCACCAGTTTAAGTGAATCATCGCAGGAGATATCTGAAGGCGCAAAATTTCAACTTCAACACCTTGTAACCCCAAAATATGTGGTTTTATATACAGTGCGTCACAGAAGTAACGCAAAAAAAATTCATATTTCATTTTCTGTTGAGTTTTCACAAAAACGCTAAAACACGTCAATTAGTAAATTAGAATTGTCGTTTTGTCACGTTGCTTAAACCTTTTTTTCGCTATGTTTCATAAACCTATGACGTCATCGACATTTTTTTTAAATAACACCACCTAATTTTTTTAAGCATAAATGGATAGCCCTTTTGAAGGGAAATGTGTCGATATAGGGTTTGGCCTACTTTACTTTGACAGGAGCGGAAAAAAAGCCATTGACTGGAATGGACATGGTTTAAAATAACAACAAAAGTAGGTATCATAGACCGATGCGAGAACAGTGCCACAGTATAAAATGGAAATTTGGGGATGTTTTGTGTTTTGGTTGATTGTAGGTACGTTTTTATGTACTGATATGTACGACGAATGGCAATGTGTGGATTTTCAGTGACTACTAAACATAACATTTTGCCTATCATTTTCTGTCACTGTCGTTGGCCTTCTAGATCTAGACACATTTCTAACATTGCCAGCGTCTTCAAATTTGGGTACTAATCTGCATACTGTACACGGAGGTATTGGTTGTTCTGGATACTTGGCATTGAATAATTGACATATTTCATCATAACTACGAATCCTATATCTCCGTATTCAACCATAATTAGGATTTCAGTTCTTTGTTTCTCATTTAAACACAACACCATCGTAATGTAAAGTTATGGTATTTGTAACTGTGACAATGATATGAGGCGCTATTGCATTCGCTAACTGTCGTCTTCAGAACAATGCCTACATAGCCACTGTGATCGGGTGTACCTACCCAATCTACATAAAAACATGTGCCAACAATCAACCAAAACAGATTTTTTGCTATAGCACTGTTCGCGCATAAGTTTGTGATACCTATTTTTGTTATTAATTCAAACCATGTTCATTCCAATTGTTTGGTTTTTTTTCGCTCCTGTCAAACTAAAGTAGGCCAAACTCTATATCGACGCATTTCCCTTCAAAAGGGCTATCCATTCATGCTTAAAAAATTAGGTGGTGCTATTTAAAAAATATGTCGATGACGTCATAGGTTTATGAAACATAGCGCAAAAAAGTTTAAGCAACGTGACAAAACGACAATTCTAATTTACTAATTGACGTGTTTTAGCGTTCTTGTGAAAACTCAATACAAAATAAAATATGAATTTTTTGCTTTACTTCTGGGACGCACTGTATTGGTGTTCCAAGAAAGACGCATAAGCTAAAACACGTTTATTAGACGTCTATGAAACCGATTTAATTTAAATAAAATATTTATGTCCAACTGTAACATTACATAATTTATTAACCGGCCATGGAACTGACCTTGAAGTTCTGACACAGGTTCAGAGAACATCTCGTATTCAGAATTTGAGTGCAGACAACTTTCTGTATAATCCTTATTCATTAGGTATGAAAAATTGGTGGAAACCGAAGAGAAAGGCTACCAGGAGCAACGCAGAAGGCTGCTAGCGGATCACGCGAACAGGATAAAGGAGTGCGAAGAAAGAGAGGCAGTCGCTTTGGCAGAAAAGGACAGGGCAATCAAGCAGTCTCAGGACGAATTCGAGGACAGATTGCAAGTAAGAGGAGAGATTTTTTTTTTAAGGTATCAGATTCATTTGAACATGCATAGGTATTTAAAGGAATCATTATAGTCCACAGTACAGGCCCCCTCTGGAAAGTTGATTACCACATACTTTATAACTCCTGAGGAGCTTCATTTTGACGAGTCTACCACATTTTTCCTCTGCGACTTTTCTCGATTCCTCCGCTTTTCCGCTCGGAAAAGTCCAAAAACATGGTAATTTCCCGGGGTCTCGAAAAGTCAAGACCACATCTTTTATTTTTAGCTGAAGTAACTGGAAATTTTGTTGCGAATGCCGATTTCAATTTGTCCGACAGAAATTCCTCCGACATTGACGTGTCTACCGGTCGAAACATGCCAAAATAACCCGGTTTCGAAAATCAATTACCACATACGAGGTAATTTTTAGTAAAATCAATTGTAAATAATTAATTCAGTCGAAAAGTATTGTTGTCCGACAAATTTCAAGCCGCGTTTTTTCAATCCGACAGCTGGAAATCGGAATTTTCACGGGGTATGAAAAATCGATTACCACATATCTAATTTTCATTTTTTCCACTTTTAAATTTACTGTACAAAATATTGATATAAGTGTCCGACGATTTAATGTCCGCAATTTATTAAAAAATCAATAAATCAATAAACGTGATGAAATTTAATATTTTCACTCGAAAATTTTCAAATTTATAAATGGTTATTAATTATTATGATGTAAATTATTATTTGTTTCAAATAAATAATTATAATATTGCTTATTTTATGCTAAAAAATTTAAAAGTTATAAACAAATGAAGTTATTTTTGAGGCGATTAATATTATCTTAGTCCATAATGCATTATTTCTAAATAAATTAATATTATACTTGATATAAAAATCCTTTTTACTCTTTCAAGTTTTCATTCGCATTTGTTATTTTTCTTTACAAAAATTTTCCTATTTTTCTAAAAGAAAATCCCAAAATTTTTGTGCATATTTTTTTTACACCATACATACCTACTTTTTTGAAATCGTTTAATTCTTTTCTCGATATTTATTTGGCTAAATTGAGCATATAGATTTACAATTACAAGAATAAAACGAAAAATATATACAGGGTGTTTCAGAAAGACCTCCCATAAATAAAGGGGGTGATAGTATGACAAAACATGAGAATTTTTTGTCTTATGAATTATATGTCTATCTCCTCTTGTTTTCGAGATACAGAGAGACAAAATAAAATTTTTTAAATAACATTTTTATGAAAATTTCCAAATGGTGCGAAATATTTTTATGAAATTTGGTAGTCCGAGGTTTTTAAGTGTGCCAATTACTTTTGGTATATTTCATAGAGGGCGCTAGTTATGCTACATTCTTATTACAATTTAAGTTATATTTTTTTTAAGGTTAGATTTTTTACCAGTCGGGCTCCAATTTCTATTGTACAATTTTATTTTCTAAAAATAATGTACTCTTGTTAGAACTTCCTAATGTGGACGATTTTCGAGAAAAAAGGCTTTTAATTAAACTTTTACAATATTACACTATAAAATAAGTGACTTTTTTCAAAGTAAGCTTGAGGAGATAGACATATAGTTCATGTGACAAAAAATTCTTATTTTTTGCCGTCCCCACCCCCTGTATTTACGGGAGGTCTTTCTGAAACACCCTGTACTGTATATTTATATGGAATTTTGCTTAATACATGAAAATACCTTATTAGAAATTATAAATCCATGTGCACATTTTTTACGAATTTTTTTTCATCACTTTTTGTCGGACTGATGATTTGCGGATACATTTTTGTCGGACATCACAATTTTTGCTTATAAAAAACACTTTTCTATCGTGTTTTGTCCAATTTTTCATACCCCGTGAAAATTCCGATTTCCAGCTGTCGGACTGAAAAAACGCCGCTTGAAATTTGTCGGACTGCAATACTTTTCGACTGAATTAATTATTTACAATTAATTTTACTAAAAATTACCTCCTATGTGGTAATTGATTTTCAATACCCTGTTATATTGGCATGTTTCGACCGGTAGACACTAGTGCTGGCAAAAACCGGAAAAAAGTTAAACCGAGTTCCGTAAAAACCGTTTCAGATAAAACCGGTTAGTCGAATAGTTGCTAAAACCAGTTATTCGAATAATCCGTTACTTGAATCGTCAAAACCGGATATCTGAAAATCGGTGCTTTACAAAGACAGACCCGGAGAAATTGTCTAAAAAAAAAGGTCTACAAAAATCCGGAAGTCAAATTTGTTTACAAAGAAATCGATCTCAAAAAAAAAAGGTCAATTGCAATCGGACAAATCGATGTCTAAAAAAAAAAAGTATATCATCGAATAATCCGTTATTTGAATAATCGGATATTTGAAGATTCGAATAACTGAATAACCGGTTTTCGGATATTTGAAGAATCGAATAACCGAATAACCGGTTTTCGGATTTCATAAAAATCCGAATTATCTGAAACCGGTTAACCGACTATCCAAAAAACCGGATTCAGTTGCCAGCACTAGTAGACACGTCAATGTCGGAGGAATTTCTGTCGGACAAATTTAAATCGGCATTTGCAACAAAATTTCCAGTTACTTCAGCTAAAAATAAAAGATGCGGTCTTGAGTTTTCAAGACCCCGGGAAATTGCCATGTTTTTGAACTTTTCCGAGTGGAAAAGCGGAGGAATTGAGAAAAGTCGTAGAGGAAAAATGTGGTAGACTCGTCAAAAGGATGCGCCTCATGAGTTATAAAGTATGTGGTAATCAACTTTCCAGAGGGGGCCTGTACTGTGGACTATTATATTTACGCCAGTAAATTTGTAATAATTAATTATTACCGCAATAGTTTAATAGGTATTGCATGCAATAAGTAATATGTAGTTGGGGCATGCCGGCTGTAGCCTATAGAGTAGTTGTTTCCTGCAATATTATCGGTTAATTTTGTCTATCAGGTTGGATATCTTGTGCTCAACTTCCTTCGATATGCTTTTTTTTTTTGGAAAATTATCTGAATTGGCGTTTAATACATTTAAACTAAAATGGTACAAAAGAGATAATGATGAAAAATGTATGTATTTAAAAAAAAACAGGTCATCATCAGGAGGCACTCCAACGAGCTCAGGCTGCTGAAGGAGTCGTCGCAGCTCGAGTTCGAGACGTGGCAGAGCAACTTCAGGAAGCAGCAGGCCATCGCCGTGGCGGAAAAGGAGGCCGTCATCAGGGAGCAGTGCCGGAAGGAGAGGGACAGGGAGATCGAGGCGGTCATAGAACGGCTGGAGAGCGAGGCGAGCGAGAATAAGACGCAAATGGAGCAGTCCATGGAGAACAGAATCAGGTGAGGTGTTACCAGAGACTAAATTATGATTTAACGAATGCGGCGAACGGTATATTTTGTACGCAGGAGGCTCAAGGAAAAGTACGAGAAGGAGATAAAAGAGCTGGAGTTGTCGGAAAAGGAGGCTAATGAGAAATACTGCGAGGCCAAATCGAAACTGCTGGACTGCGAGGAGACGGTTATAAGTCTGCGGGCAGGCATCAAGCAGCTGGAACACCAGGTCGGGGAGCACAAAGAGGTGAGTAGATCGAGACATTTATTTAAGATAATTATTAATTTCAAGCCGTTTACTATTGCCGATATAATTCAAATACCTACTAGTAGTTTTCCGCAATTTTGTCTTGTTTTATTTTTCTGGAGTAATTGTAATTTGTCTCATTGCAGAAAAAATATCAATACACAAATTATAATTACTGTGTTGTGAATTGGTTAACACTTTATCACTTTTACAGACAAATGTTTATCTGTCATTTTTCTAAAGTGATTGTTGCCCTTATTCAAATTAGATTTAGATCACGCACATACAGGGTGTTTCTAAAATAGGGTTCCAAACTTCTGCTGCGTTTATAACTCATTAAAATAAGCCAAAAAGTTCATATTAACATGTACCCTAAAACGCACCCTTAGGAAGTTATATGCCCTTAAAAGGGCTCAAACAAAACTGTTTTTTTTTTCTGTTATTAACAAAACGGTCGCAAATAAATAGAAAAAAATTTATGGGTCTTATATAACTTTTTACGTTAAATAACATGGGCTACTCCGTTTTTCGACATGCAAATCATATGCGTTCCATTTAGGTTGGTGAAGGGGGTTTCGGCCCGTAATTTCTTTTATTTCAATTTTTTTACAATTTTTTCTACATATTTATAAAATCTTAACAATTTTACGTAAAAAATTTTATCTTTGTCCAAATCGATATTTCCAATAACTTACCATATAACCATAATAATATAACCATATAACTTCCTAAGGGTGCGTTTTCGAGCACATGTTAATAGGAACTTTTTGGCTTATTTTAATGAGTTATAAACGCAGCAGAAGTTTGGAACCCTATTTTAGAAACACCCTGTATAAACACCGGGCAAGTGACAGCGTATCTTCAATGTTTTTAGTTCTTCCAATCTTGTTTAGGAAAAAATAACCTTAATAAAGAAAATAGTGAACAGCCGCTTGGTATTAAAATATATCATCATCATAATGTGTCTATTTAGTCCAGTTGGTAGAGCTTCGGCGTGTGTCAAACCTTGATAACCCGGAAATAACTACACAGGTCTACTTTAAATGAGGAGTACAATAACAGGCTAATTTGCTGACAAAGTATTTTACCAGGAAAAAAAAGTTATTAACAATTTAATCGTGAATTTTTTTAGTAGTTTTCTTTAAATAACTCAGCGGGATGACTTTGTACGAAAAAATGCTTAGGACATGATTTTTTTCGTAATAAAAATAGCTACAAAATGGCGATGGTCCGATTACGAAATTTGCAATAACAAAGCCGTGAGATTGAAAAAACGGTATAAAACGCCAATTTATTTAAGTTGCTGTAAAAATGTCAATTATAAACAAAAAGTGATACAACTTTAGAAATCTATAGTTCAATATATATGCAATAATGACGCTAAAGCCGAAAATCAGGAGAGCAAAACTTTTTGTTCTATAAGGTGTTATGCATTCATCGGAATCTGAAACTCGAAACTTTGCCAAATTTGTTCGAAGCTTTGCTGACACTTGAAATTTGGTATACACATTGTGTAAATATGCAGAAACCAAAAGCAATTTGCAAAATTCAAGTTTCTTCATTTTTGCAGTTTTGGTAAGGTTTTATAGGTCACCCTAGTTTTATACGTCTCAGTTTTTTTTCACTTTTGGACGTATATTTATGTATATTTATAAAATATTCCATTACGGTAGATTAGTCAGCATAATTACCTACAATTTAAAAAAATATATATTTTCATCGTTTAGATCCTAAGCTACTTAACATTTTGCGCCATACTCGTACATTATTCAATATATCAACTATTATGCTGGCTGATCTACCGTAATGGAATATTTTATAAATATACATAAATATACGTCCAAAAATTAAAAAAACGGTGACGTATTAATCTAGAGTGACGTATAAAACCTTACCAAAACTGCAAAAATTAATATACTTGAATTTTGAAAATTGCTTTTGGTTTCTGCATATTTATACTATGTGTGTACCAAATTTCAAGTGTCAGCAAAGCTTCGAACAAATTTGGCAAAGTTTCGAGTTTCAGATGCCGATGAATGTATAACACCTTATAGAACAAAAAGTTTTGCTCTCCTGATTTTCGGCTTTAGCGTCATTATTGCATATATATTGAACTATAGATTTCTAAAGTTGTATCACTTTTTGTTTATAATTGACATTTTTACAGCAACTTAAAAAAATTGGCGTTTTATACCGTTTTTTCAATCTCACGGCTTTGTTATTGCAAATTTCGTAATCGGACCACCGCCATCTTGTAGCTATTTTTATTACGAACAAAATCATGTCCTAAGCATTTTTTCGTACAAAGTCATCCCGCTGAGTTATTTAAAGAAAACTACTAAAAAAAATTTTTTTCACGATCAAATTGTTAATAACTTTTTTCCCTGATAAAATACTTTGTCAGCAAATTAGCCTGTTATTGTACTCATCATTTAAAGTAGACCTGTGTAGTTATTTCCGAGTTATCAAGAAAATGTCACCAACAGTAACATTTCGGCCTCTGCCGACTGGAGTAATTATGATTATGTTAGAAGGTAAAAAAATTCCTTTATTTAGTACAAATAATACACAAAGTATGCACACTTTGACATCTAACATCTAAACTCCTAAGAGCACGAAAGAAAGAAAGAAACAGAACATATTCTAGAAATATCGTGAAACAAATGAGTAAACAAATGTATAAACAAAGCACAGTGGGGCGACTTTCGCGACAATATGAATGAAGCCGTGTGACTTGTACTGTTTGTTGTTTTCAGCTCTCGGACAAGCTGACCGAGGAGAGAACCAATTTGAAGGAAGCCGTTAAGTTAGAGATGAAAGAGGAGGTGCAGGCCTTGGAGAAGGAGGTGGCGCAGCTGAAAAACTCCAGGGATAGAGACTTGCAACAGCTTTATTCCAGGTAACGTATACGTCGCGCATTTCCCATTTTCTCTTCAAACGTTTCACATGACAAATGTCATTTTCACAAAATTAAATTTCACAGGATTCGTCGGTTGCGCATTGGAAAACATATATTTTTTATGTATACAAGGAAGCAGCAGCGTCTCGAGCTGTGCAAAAAGTTTGCAAACAAGCTATTCCCAAACTCATATTCATTGCATTAATAGATTTAAAATAATACAATTCTCAGACTTTGTCGTGACTTCAGGAGACGTCTCGGGCGACGCTCATTGTGCTTTTTTTAACACAAACAGGCTATAATGCACAGGCTGAGGGTCTAAAGTAACCGATTTTCATAATTGAAGTTTAAAAAAATTATTTAGGTACGCTTATTCAAATATCTCTGATTGTTTTGTTATAGATTGATAAAACTTGAGCTAATAAGCATAACTATTTACCGAAGTAACACATAAAACATAAAATATAAAATATGTATACAGGGTGACATAGAAAAAAGTACATTGCATAGTGCCACACAATAGAGGACACTAAAATAAGAAAAAATGTTCCTATGAACATGGGTCTTCAAGGCCTTCGGTTAAAAGATACGGGGTGTTGAATTTTATTTTTGTTCGGTTTTTTTTTTTAATATCTTTAGCCAGAGACGCAAGAAATGAATAAAATGTGGTATACAGGAGTTTTTTTATCATGCTAAATTCAAATATGATCTTAGTTTTGTGATTACTGATAGAGGGCGCTACATACAGGGTTCCATATCTACTGAATCGGTCCTAACTTTTTTGCTATACACTGTATGTCATTTTCGACTGAAAAAAATTTGTTATCCCTTCTTTCTATACGTAAGAAAGGTATACCTTGTCCAAGTCGCTAGAAGCAATGGTTCCAGTACAAAAGCCGACAATGCACGCAAATTATTCAAAAAGCGCCAAAGTAACATTTGCAAAAACAGTGATAAATAACAATTAAATAATGACACTTGTCAAACTAATATAATAATTGTTAGAGGTATTTTGTGTTCTTGATTAAGTTTTTCATTGGTTTTCTCAATGATTATTCAAAATTGCTTTCAAAAATGGTTCGCTACACTTTTGAAGAATACAGGGACATGATTATGTGTTACGGCGAAGCTAGATCAAATTCTTACGAAGCTCAACGTATCTATCGAGAAAGATATCCTTTAAGACAAGTTCCTAATGTTCGAACATTTATTGATGTGCATAGGCGTTTGGGAGAAGATGGCTGTTTTAGAAAACCAAAATTGAATGGTGGGGTTTCCAGAACTCGTCGCACTGTGCGAAACGAAGAAACTGTTTTACGAATGGTAGAAAATAATCCGAGAACAAGCACCAGGAAAACAAGTTCAGCGGTGCGAAACCTTAACCGTGAATCAGTTAGACAAATTTTCAAAGAACAACTTCTTCGCCCATATCATTTCCAAAAAATTCATTCACTATTGGAACATGACTTTGTTCCTCGTGTACAATTTTGCGAATGGTTTCAAAACCAAAGAGAAAATACTATTTCATCAATTTTGTTTACTGACGAAGCTAGTTTTAGTCGTGATGGTATTCTGAACCTACATAACATGCACCATTGGAGTGATGAAAATCCTCATCAAACTATAATTCGGAGTCACCAATATGGGTTTTCTATTAATGTGTGGGCAGGTATAATCGACAATTACTTAATTGGCCCATTTCGATTGCCCAGTCGATTGACAGGTGCACTGTATCGAAATTTCTTGGAGAATGATTTAAACACATTATTAGAGGATGTCCCATTGGCCATTATTGGAAGAATGTATTACATGCATGATGGGGCACCAGCTCACTTTTCTCGAGTGGTAAGGGAATATTTGGACAGGAGATTTGGAAATAGGTGGATTGGTCGAAGGGGGCCTGTACCCTGGCCAGCTCTTAGTCCCGACCTTAATTCCCTCGATTTTTCATTTTGGGGATTTATGAAAAATGAAGTTTATGCTGTAGAAATACATAATGAAGAACAATTATGGATAAGAATTATGGAATCGGCAGATAGATTTCATAATAACCTAGGAATATTTCAAAGATGCCGTCAATCATTAAGAAGAAGAATGGAAAAATGTATTGAAGTACAAGGGCAACAATTTGAACATCTTCTAAAAACTTAATGTTTTGTTTTAATTAATCATATTTTTCATCATACCATTAAAATTTAATTGTTGAAGTATTTATCATTGTTTTTGCAAATAAAAAAAATTAAAATTCAACACCCCGTATCTTTTAACCGAAGGCCTTGCGGACCCATGTTCATAGGAACTTTTTTTCTTGTTTTAGTGTCCTCTATTGTATGACACTATGCAATGTACTTTTTTCTATGTCACCCTGTATATGTACATTTCCGCCTTCGAATATTTTACGAATATAATCTAAACGTCCGCCAGAAAAGCATATATTTTAGATACTTAAAATATAATGTATAATTAATAACTAACTAGGTATATCAACGTAATGTTGTTGCAGTAAATATCGTGTGTAGGCATTCTCTCAATAATGTCGAACAATGAATTGGAATAAATATTAGATGCAGGTATTTCTATAACGGGATATTTTAGAAGATTTAAAAATAATAAAATTTCTTTCATACGGTTTCAGGTGTTTAGTAATGTATGTGATTTAGATTAACGGGTACCTACTTCTCGGGTAAAAGCAAAAATTCGTTGAATGGGTATAAATATCCATATTAAGATTTCCAGTTCCAACGCCACTGAGTATTTTGGAAATAAAATAAGCGCATTTATTCGTAAATTGAGGCATTTTTATTATTTCTTTTATTCAAAATAAGCTCAATTGAAATAAATTTAAAATATATCTAAAACATTCAATCATTTCAGATAATGTGTACAAATGGAATTTTAAATGTGATTTAACCGTAAAAAGGTTCAAACAAATCACTGAATATTATAAAAAGTTTCCATATTCATGTTATTATAGATACACATAACTAGACCACAATTTATATCGAAAATAAAACTAACTACACTTTGTGTCACACATATTAACGGTGTGTTGCTAAGATTTACGTCAATATATATTTTTTGAAAAATTGTCCCTAAACAATTTGAAATAGAAACACATGTCGATAAAATACGTTCCAGTTAATATTTTCACAATCACAATACCTACTTACACATATACCTACTATTTTTTGCTGCAATCATAGAAATTACATATTGTATTAGATTTCGGTAGAACTATAATATTAAATTTTACTGCAATAAAAGTAATGTACAGGGTGGTTGATTTTCGATAGTTTTATAGGGTACAGCCAAAACGGTGATAGATACAAAAAATCTGAAATCGATGTCCCGTCCTCTTTTTTTGAGTTTACTTCCCTGGTACCAAAAGGCTAACTTGATTAGTTTTAGATATACAGGGTTTTTTTTTTGAAAAATGGCCCATTTACATTAACCTCTCTATCTCCGTTGTCATTCAATTTAGAAGAAGAAAGTTTTTGTATTATTTGTTTTATTTTTTATTAGGAAGCCAGTGGCGTACTCAGATTTTTTACAAATCGCACAGTTTTTCCGATATTACATAAACATAGGTTTTTTTAAATAGAACACCCTGTATTTGGCCATCCCGTTGAATAGCATTTTTTTTTTACCTTTTCAGCCATATATAATAATAGATAATTTTTATTTGCCTAAATGAAGAAAAATGCAAAAATGTAGATATAGATATTTTTTCAGTTGGCCATGTTATTTATTTATTCGTCTTTTGTTGTTTAATATTGACAGTTAGTTTATTTTTGACTGATTGAAAGCTTGTTAAACGTCTATTATTTGGTTTCAATTTTGAAAGGTATAAAAATGGTGTACGAAAATATTTACAAAGTTCAAATGTTGGAGTGTTACATTGAAAGTGAAAAAATAGTGACACAGTTTTAAACTTATATTTGGAGAGATACCCAGAGCGTCATCAGCCAGAAAAGATAATTTTTAGCCGACTCTATGATAACTTGTGTGAGTTTGGTTCTTTTCAAAAACCGAGAGCTAAATCTTATACGGAATAGAGAAAATGATGAAATCAATACTTTAGCTTTTGTTGTCGCAAATCCCAATGTATCCAGCACAGAAATTCAAAGGACGATAGGAATTGGTAAATTCAGAGTATTGAGAATTTTAAAAAATACAAGTTCGATCATATACTATAAAAATGTCGACCATTTGCATCCAGGAGATGAAGAGAGACGTGTCATTTTCTGCCAATGGCAGCGAAGGTATATTCAACCGGCATAATGCGCGGTATTGGTCAGATGTGAATCCTCACCAAACTGTGGCCAGATTTCAGCAAGGGCAGTTTGGTTTTCATGCATGGGTAGCTCTCTTCCACAATAGAGTGTTAGCTTACGAAATGTACGATGAAAACCTTAGCGCTCAGAGATATGTGAGAATTTTACAAGAAAATATTATTGAACCGCTGGACGATATGCCACTAGCTCAACGATATCACATGTTCTTTCAGCATGATGGTGCGCCTCCACATAATTCCCACATAGTTAGAGAATTATTAAATCATAATTTCGGGGACAATTGGATCGGTACGTACGAACCAAACAGGTGGCCGCCTAGGTCACCAGACCTAACCCCTATAGGCTTTTATTTTTGGGGGATCTTAAAGACAGAATTTATAAGTATAGAGCTAATAATGTCGAGGAGCTAAGGGAACATTTTGAAAACTATATTCAGCGCGTATCAAATATCCACATTTACAATGTGACCCGCTCCATTGCCAAACGTTGTCAGTTATGTATCAACGAAAATGGCCGACAATTTTAGCACTTGCTGTGACTTTGTTATGTCATTTTTGTTTTATTGTTGTTTCTCTCATTTTATAGTTGTTTTTTTTGTTTAGTTTATGTTTAATAAGTGTACATATAATTAAACCTATTAAGTAAAGATTAATGGATAATCTAATTTATTTTTTCTTGTAATTTTTTAGTCTAAGTTAGGTGCTTAATATAAAAATAATAATAGAAAACGAGGAGGCCAATACTAAATAAATCTCATGGGCAACTGAAAAAATATCTATACATTTTTTACATTTTTCTTCATTTAGGCAAATAAAAAGTATCTATTATTATATATGACTGAAAAGGTAAAAAAATGCTATTCAACGGGATGGCCAAATACAGGGTGTTCTATTTAAAAAAACCTATGTTTATGCAATAATAGTATGTTCAGCTTATTTTGAATTTAAAAAAATAATAACTTGAAAATAGCGGTAGTTCGTTTCCTCAGAAATGTAGGTACAAATATACCCGTTATACTCAGAAGCGTCGAAATAATAGTCCACCAGTATCTCCGCCACCAGTTAATAATATGTATACAATAAACCAATCCCCTTCATCAAACATGCTCGGATATATTTGAATATATGCGATATTTGTTTTTTAATTTCGGCACTCACTTTGCATATCGAAAACCATGGATTTTGCACCTCCGATTCATTAGTTTAAATTGGCCCAAAAAAAAAACACCCTGTATATTATGCATAATTTCACCGAACGCTTCGTAAATTTTTTTTCTGTCGGATCCTCGCACCTGAATCCTAAACGCGCCCACATTTGTCGAATAGTAGGCCGGACCGCGCGAAGTTTCTTTATCTGAAAGTAAAATTTCTCGTAACCAGAAAACATTTCCAATTTGTCACTTCTGTTGGCAGTTTTGTAAATTATACCGTTTTCATTTCGGCGCAAAATCCGTCCAAAACTTTCTCTTGTTTGCAGGGTGAAAGTTTCCGTGGCGAGGAAGGACGAAATCATGAACGAATTGCAGGCCGAGAACAAGGCCCTGCAGGAAAAATGCCTCTACTTGGAGAATATGCTTGAGCAACAGAGAAGGGAGTATCTGATTAAGTGAATATTTTTATTAATTGTGTCTTTATACGTAGATAGATATTAGATAAGTTTATATGTATGTGTCTTTTTTTTCTTTTAAGTGTTCTACAAAATGTGGTTTTCCAAGTATGTAATTGAAATAATAGTATCTACCCAAATCGCAGACAAGCAAAAAATATAGTGTTTCATTTCCTGTGAATGTCTATTTCATTTCGTTCATGTCTTTTTGCGACCTGTTAAAAACTGCAAAAGATTTAGTGGATGATAGTATATCAAAAAATATTCTTTTTCGGGATACAAGGCGTCAAAGAGATAAAGGCTCTACAAAAATTATTATTATTTTTTTAAGGAAACAAAATTATACCAAGGTAAGTTCAGTAAGTTGATCTGAATCTGTTTATTTTCATTCAAAGAAGCTACGCTTGAAGTATCACTAATTTGTTTACAAACACTCCGTATATTAAAGACAGATACAAGTTGACTGAACAGTAGACATTCACTATAAAAATAGTAACCCCAAAAAGTGTCACTAAGAGAGAGAAAGAGAGAAACTAACAACAATAACGTATTAAGTATATTCAAAATCTACACAAATTTCAATATAATACAATGGTTTTTTTTTTTTGGAAAAATACAGCTAAAATTTGATTTAAAAAACTCGTCGTTGATGCCCTTTAACTCGAAACAAAAGACAATACCTATACCCACGGTCCATAAGAAAAACTTGGCTTATATTTTGATATTCTATCATACTAAATTTTCTGCATTAATTTCTGCAACACCCTGTATATAAATATTTTTTCGGTCGTGAAAAATATTTTTTAATCATAGCGCTATTTAGACCTCATTTGATATAATCATTTCTGTGGTTTTCACCTGCGGTCGCCGCATCAGTCAATCAGCCAATAAAAATCAACCGTCATCTCTTTCTGATTCACTGCATATCCCATAAGAAAATAAGAGGCAAATTTAAAATTGCCACTTTTCTTGTACCGCGCGTATTTTAACATAAAATAAAAAATTTTGATTTTTCACTATAATTTTTTTTTCGGCTCTGTAATAGCACTGCGGAAAAATAAGATGAGGATAATGAATTTACTAATAATATTTTATTTATTAAAGCTGGTTTTACAAGAGATGGTAGGTATTGCAAATTATCATAACAAAGTATAACAGATTTTCAATTCTATTTTATCATAACAAATAATAAATGTTTGTAATAACCTCCGTTTGTGTGTCGTTATCCACGGTTTCCCAGCCACGGTTTATGACGTGTAGGGAATCGCTTTCGGGATTGAGGAACTCAGATCACGGAATTGTGAGCATACAACATTATACTACAATTGCATGTTTATGGCACTTCCGTTTAAAAATAAATGAAAGTAGAAGGGCTAGATGAACCTATCAGCAACCAAGAACCACCCTCATATTATCTGACTGCCCAGTCTAAGTTTCTAAGTGGTGGTGAAAATTATTATTTAAAAATGTTGAGCATAATTTTCTAAGCTGAATTGCCTATAAGTCCCTCTCGCCGACGTATTTCGAAATTTGTATGAGCACAAACATTTAGATGGAGTACTTACAGATTTTTTTTACCGGCAATAAGCTGAAAATTCTGCTCAACATTTTTAAATAATAACTATTGTTTCAGGTATCAGAAAGTGTATTGAAGTGAATGGAGATCATTACCAACATTTATTATGATAAAATAGGATTGAAAATCTGTTATACTTACAATTAGTTAACATTTGTTTTCTATTACTATTATGATTACTACGAGCATTATGATAATTTGTAATACCTACTATCTCTTGTAAAACGAGCTTCGTTAGTAAATAAAATATTATTAGTAAATTCATTATCGTCATATTATTTTTCCATAACGCCATTAGAGAGCCGAAAAAAGTTATATACTGAAAAATCAAACTCATACTTGTTTTTTAAACAATTTTCGTTACAATTCGTAACACTAATAACCAATGAGATTTATTTGAAGCATGACACCTTGATTAATTACAGAAAGAATTATCTAAAATTTGATGTTAATAAAACTTTAATCGCGATTTCCTGCTAACGATTACATTTATCGGCTTGAATAGAGTATACATGATGTCTGGCAAGGGAAAAAAATTTTGAGTTCTAGGTAAAATGTTCTCTAGCGGTACATAATGAAAGTTTTCTCTGACTGGTCTAATAGAGCTTGATCCACTTAGTGGGTGTGCCTAATGAAAGACTAATCGAATTTGAATTATTAAATAAGTTATTTAAAAAGAAAAATAGAACAAAATAACTGACAAGCTGTAACAATTGACAATTCGAAAAAAAATTCATTACATACCTACTGCTATTATTTTAATTCCTAGAGTCACCTCCCAGAGTTTCCTGATGGACTTTTAAAACACTAATAATAATAATTTTTTATTAAATTATTGCTTTACTTTTTTAATAAACATACCTGTTTTCTTTAAGTCTTTCTTGATGGTAAACTTAATAGCTCTGTTGGAGATCGCGTTCAGTCAGAATCCTCAAAATGTGCACTACCTGCATGTCCCGTTGAAGGATTAAACAAATAAACACTACACCATTAACTTAGCCAGTCTTTATTTTTGTTTATAACTCTACTGTCTTTTTTACAGACCGTGTTTTTCATCATGCTAGAAAAAATTTAGTACCTACACTTTATGGAAATTTAGTATATAAGATATACAATTTAGGTAGTACAATTTTTTTTCAAGCACTGGCAACCCTGTCTAGAAGGCTCCCAGGTGGATAAGCTCGTGACCATGGAGACTATACAAGGAGCCCGAACTCCATGTAAACAAAAATCTTACAAAAATAAGAGGGCGCTAGTGTTCCATATGTCCCATATGTAGAGAGGGGAGATAAAAAGCGGCAGTTTGAATTATAAATCAATCATGTCATTTTTGTAATGTGTTAAAAATTTTAAAATAAATAATGTAAGCTACTTTGAATTATATAAATCATGAAAATATGTCATTCCGGACTGTAATTAAACTAAATAGATAATAAAAAATATTAGCTTTATGAGAAGAATTTGGTGTTCGTAGAAAGAAACTAGTTTTCAAGGAATTTATGACGTGTCTTGTTAATATTAACCTATAAGTAAGGTTTATGTTTTTGATAATTACTTTGTTAAAGATTTTAGTTTAATGTTAGTAAAAAATAGTCACATTTTATACAGGAAGTT